CGTGTCTATTCCTGTCTGTCTCTCTCTGACCTGTCTCTCTCTCTTTGATCTGTCTCTCTCTCTCTCTCTGTCTCTCTTTGACTTGTCTCTCTCTGTCTGTCCCTCTTTGACTTGTCTCTCTCTGTCTGTCTCTCTTTGACTTCTCTCCCTCTGTCTGTCCCTCTCTGACCTGTCTCTCTTTGACTTGTCTCTCTCTCTCTGTCCCTCTCTGACCTGTCTGTCCCTTTCTGACCTGTCTCTCTTTGACTTGTCTCTACCTGTCTGTCTCTCTCTCTCTCTTTGACGTGTCTATTCCTGTCTGTCCCTCTCTGACCTGTCTCTTCCTGTCTGTCCCTTCCTGACCCGTCTCTCTCTCTCTCTCTCTCTCTCTCTCTCTCTCTCTCTCTCTCTCTCCTCAGGACTGCCGCCATTTCCTGAACTTTGTCAATGGTTACCATGGCGACCAGAGGAGGTGATTAATGGAACGTGAATTGAAGCAAAGTGAAAACTGTTTGTTGTGATGACTTTTCCCTGCGTTCTGTCTGGCAGGGTGTACACCTTCCCGTGTCTCCGAGCATTCCTGGGCTCCACTGAGGTAAAACTCTTTAACTCTTGACACTCTGGACAAACCAGACACTGCAGGTTTACTTCCTGTTTCCTTCCTCTGCAGCTGTTTCGACCAAAAGACGACAAACTGGACCAGTTCTGGATCGATTTTAACGTCAGCTCAGGATGTGTCAGCTTCTTCATCGACGAGCCTCAGGTACCTAATCTGCTCCATAACATGGTGCTAATGCTACTATTAGCATGTTAGCTGGAGGTGAGGGGTGAATGGATATCAGATTATAGATTTTCAGACAAATTGTCAGACAGATTATCAAACATAAATAATAACAGATTATTCGACAGATTATCAGGCACAGATTATAAAACACAGATTATAGATTATCAGACACTGATAATCTATAATCTGTGTCTGGTAATCTATAATCTGTGTTTTATAATCTGTGTCTGATAATCTATAATCTGTGTCTAGTAATCTATAATCTGTGATTTATAATCTGACACAGATTATAGATTATCAGACACAGATTATAAAACACAGATTATAGATTATCAGACACAGATTATAGATTATCAGAGACAGATTATAGATTACCAGACACAGATTATAGATTATCAGACACAGATCATAAAACACAGGTTATAGATTATCAGATACAGATTATAGATTATCAGACACAGATTATAGATTATCAGATACAGATTATAGATTACCAGACACAGATTATAGATTATCAGACACAGATCATAAAACACAGGTTATAGATTATCAGATACAGATTATAGATTATCAGACACAGATTATAGATTATCAGATACAGATTATAGATTATCAGACACAGATTATAGATTATCAGACACAGATTATAAAACACAGATTATAGATTATCAGACACAGATTATAAAACACAGATTATAGATTATCATAACAACTCAGTGAGGATGACCTGAGAGGGATGAGAAGCTTCAGATTAAAGTGGGTTCAGTTCGGCTCTCAGCAGATTTCCTGGGCTTCATCACGGTCCTGTGAGTCAAACGTGTTAAATGTCTTTGTGTCTTTGTGTCTCTGGTGACGCATCATGTGTTTCAGGCTTTCCTGTGGGGGTCGATCCACCTGCTGAGGAGGGACGTGGATCATTACAGTCTCCAGCTGAACCAACACGGTCAGTAACATTTACAGTTCATCCTCATCAATAGGTCTACTGATTGATCCCAATGCTTTTGATCAATATGACTGTGTGTATTTTCCCATGATGCACTGGGGCAGAGACGGTCCTCAGCGTCTGGCTGAACAATCCCATCATGCACCACAACAGCAGAGGTCAAACAGTGGAGCTGAAGTTTAACTCTGAACACCACCGAGAGCTGGAGGAGGCTGCTGGGAGAGTCTTCATGGTACCTGTCCATCCGTCCGTCTGCCCGTCTGTCTGTTTGTCTGTCTGTCCGTCCGTCTGCCCGTCTGTCTGTCTGTCCGTCAGTCCGTCCGTCTGTTCGTCTGACAGCTGTCTCTGTGTCCTCTCACTGTATAAACAGAAAGTAAAGAGTTCCTGCAGAGAGGAAGACTCGAGTGGTACGCTCCAGGTGTCCCCCTCTGCACACAGACACAATGGTAGATCCTACAGCAGGAAGAAACCACAGAGCAAGAGTCAGCTGAAGAGTAAGTATGTCCTACTCTCGTTAACACTTCGTTAACTTCCTTCAAACTTTGTACTTTCAACATCTTTAACTATCAGTGACAAACATCTTTTTTATTCTCATCATATTTGATTTGTCTGGTGGTTAAAACAGTTAATAATTAATCAGCAGCTGTAGCTGCAGCTGTAAATATGAAATATGAACAAGATGTTTGTGCCGCAGTCGTATGACATCACTCTGATCAGCTCTGTCTGCCTGTTGCCTAGTTTTGCCCCTGTCGTCTCCGAGCAGTGAAGAAGACTCCTCTGTAACCAAGGTAACGGCCTTGTGAAAACAGCCGCTGGTAAAGACAGGTTTTTTGGACGTTAATAGAAGAGACGGTTTGTTGTTTTCAGACTCCAGTGAGCAGATCAGAGTTTCTGTTTGATCAGATTCAACACTCGACTCCGACACACAACTCAGGTCAGTCAGACTCTTTAAAGCCCCTTTATCACTGCACAGAATACCTGCTAACATCTGCCGAACCCCTGCTAACATCTGCTAACATCTGCCGAACACCTACTAACATCTGGCAAACACCTGCTAACATCTTGCTAACATCTTGCTAACATCTTGCTAACGCCTGCTAACATCTGGCAAACACCTGCTAACATCTGGCTAACATCTGATGAACACCTGCTAACATCTGGAGAAACACCTGCTAACATTTTGCTAACACCTGCTAACATCTGGCTAACATCTGCTAACATCTGGCTAACACCTGCTTACATCTGCTAACATCTGGCAAACACCTGCTAACATCTGGCGAACACCTGCTAACATCTGGCGAACACCTGCTAACATCTGGCTAAAACCTGCTAACATCTGGCGAACACCTGCTTACATCTGCTAACATCTTGCTAACTCCTGCTAACATCTGGCTAACACCTGCTTACATCTGCTAACATCTGGCTAACACCTGCTAACATCTGGCAAACACCTGCTAACATCTGGCAAACACCTGCTAACATCTGGCAAACACCTAACACTTGCTAACGTCTGGCTAACACCTGCTAACATCTGGTGAACACCTGCTAACACTTGCTAACATCTGGCGAACACCTGCTAACATCTGGCTAACACCTGCTAACATCTGGCGAACACCCACTAACATCTGGCGAACACCCGCTAACATCTGGCGAACACCCGCTAACATCTGGCAAACACCTGCTAACACCTGCTGTTAACCATCTGTGCTGTGTCTTTCTGTCTCTCAGGTGTTCCTGTGGGGGCGGAGCTAGAGGTCTCTCGGGAAACGACGGGGGAGTTTGGAGAATATGTCTCTCCTTTAAGAAAAGTACATTTCCTCTTCTTTTATTAAAAACGCCAGCTGTTTCCTCTTTTTTTTCACCTCTTTCCTGTTTGATTTTCCAGGAAGTCTTCAGTTCTGACAGGAAGAGAGCTGCTCCAGACTCAGGTGTTTATTCGTCACTGTCTCTCTACGTGTTGAATAATTTTGTCGGCCCCACATCAGGCGTACACCTGCTAACATCTGGCTAACACCTGCTAACATCTGCTAACACCTGCTAACATCTGGCTAACACCTGCTAACATCTGGCGAACACCTGCTAACATCTGGCGAAAAACCCCTAACATCTGGTGAACACCCGCTAACATCTGGCGAACACCCCCAACATCTGGCGAACACCCCCTAACATCTGGTGAACACCTGCTAACATCTGGTGAACACCTACTAACATCTGGCGAACACCTGCTAACATCTGGTGAACACCCGCTAACATCTGGCGAACACCCCCAACATCTGGCGAAAAACCCCTAACATCTGGTGAACACCCGCTAACATCTGGTGAACACCTGCTAACATCTGGCTAACACCTGCTAACATCTGGCGAACACCCCCAACATCTGGTGAACACCCGCTAACATCTGGCGAACACCCGCTTACATCTGGCGAAAACCCCCTAACATCTGGCTAGCACCTGCTAACATCTGGCTAACACCTGCTGTTAACCATCTGTGCTGTGTCTTTCTGTCTCTCAGGTGTTCCTGTGGGGGCGGAGCCAGAGGTCTCTCAGGAAAAGACGGGGGAGTTTGGAAAATATGTCTCTCCTTTAAGAAAAGTACATTTCCTCTTCTTTTATCGAAAACACCAGCTGTTTCCTGTTTTTTTTTTTTTTTCATCTGTTTGCTGTTTGATTTTCCAGGAAGTCTTCAGCTCTGACAGGAAGAGAGCTGCTCCAGACTCAGGTGTTTATTCGTCTATTGTCTCTCTACGTGTTCAATAATTTTGTCGGACCAAACATTTCATCTATTGGTTTTTGGTGTATGTCAGTAATGATGTCATAGTAGGTGGGGCTTCCTTGGTTATCTGCTGCCAGTCTCTCAAAATACATGCTGTTTTTGTTCGTAAAATATTTTTGTATTAATGATGTGGCTGTTTAAAGGCTACTTGTCAGACCAAACTGAGGACTTTTTGGCCCAAAAGAAGAGGGCGGAGCCTCAGCCAGAGAGGGAGGAGTCTAAATCGCCACCGTCAGGTAGTTTTTATTTGGTTATTCCCTTAAATCTGCCTCAGTGTTTAAATTGTTTTAATACATCTGCTGTTCGTCTGTTACCAGAGTCATCACCGAAGGAGACGGAGCCATTCGAGGCAGGGGGCGGACTGCTTGATGATGAGGGAAAGGGGGGTGCGAAAGAGTCAGGAGTGGAGCCAGAGTCAGAATTGACGTCAGGCATCACAGCTGCCTTCAACACCTTTAAAACACAACTTGAACAACATTTCACTGTCAGTATGGTTTAAATAAAGGTTATTGATTATTGATATTATGGGACTGATCAATACATAAATAAAATGGTCAGTCAATAGAAACTAATACGACCTGTTTTCAGGGCTGCTGGAAGAGCGTGGAAACTGAAATTCTTTTGTCTTTAAAAGAGTGTCAACAACACGTCTCCTCACTGCTGACAGCTGTCCATCAACACAGGTACTAAGACACACCTGTCCATCAACACAGGTACTAAGACACACCTGTCCATCAACACAGGTACTTAGACACACCTGTCCATCAACACAGGTACCGTCCACTCAGACACACCTGTCCATCAACACAGGTACTAAGACACACCTGTCCATCAACACAGGTACTTAGACACACCTGTCCATCAACACAGGTAC